GCAGCTTTGTTTTTGTCAGCTATTGAGCTCAGCTGGTACTGTGGAATTGCAGAATTGAAAAATAATGCTATTTCACTGTCAAAAACTGTTTATTAAAGCTACCTTTATGTTTTCTCATTGAGTCTTTCACAGAAAGATTAGTACAAAGAAAAAATTTCAGTTTCTAGCAGAGAACTGGTCAAGAATGTTCTGCTACCTTGGAGTCTGCCACTTTCATCAGTCCAAGCTCATTAATGACCTGGTCAATCCTATTATTCTTTTCCGCATTGCAGATACTCTTTGGTAAACGCAGCGCAGCGGAAAACTGGAGATTCTCTCTCACTGTCAGTGTTCCCATTACCACATCATCCTGTAAAACAAAAAGATTTGATGAGATTAAGAAAACATTGTTAACTGACCAATCATAGCCAAGAAATCATTACTGGATCAAGGAACTGCTCAAGAAAGATATAGGAAACTGAAGTTTCGATTAGACATCAAAACAGTCATTATCTTATTGAATGGTAGTACAGGCTTGATGAGCCAAATGGCCCTCTGTTGTCCCATAGTTCAGAGAAAGAAGAAATAAAGAAAAAACATTTGGATTTTGATAGCATCTTCTACAACCACAAGGTTACCCAAAATACTTCACAAGCTATTCTAAATTTTGTGTTCTGTGAAACCACACAAATAAGTGATAATGACCAGATAATATGTTTTAAGTGATGTTGGTTGAGGAATAATTAATCAAACAGTAGCATGAATGTCCTTGCTGTTTTTACAATACTGCCATGGAATTTTTCATGTGGAAGATGGGAATTTAGGCTTAATGTCTAAACTGAAAGATGGTACATCAGACTGCACGCTTTAGATCATAGAAGGATAGATCAGAGAACTTGCTAACTAATGCAACTTAGAAACAGTGGAGGTCGAAAAGAAAGGATTAATCTACGCCGATCATTGAAAGAATCAAAGGATAAATGGAAGGTTGTGCTCCATATTTAGAGGAAGCCAACGAAAAATTACACTACAGTGTTCAGTTTTGGGAACCACACCTTAGAAAGGTGACCCTAGTCTCGGCTCCGCCCTCTGCAACTGGATCCTCAGTTTTCTGACCCACAGGCTGCAATCAGTGAGGATAGGTAACTGCACTTCTTCCACAATAACACTCAACACTGCAGCCCCCCCAAGGATATGTTTTCAGCACCCTCCTGTATACCTACGACTGTGTTGCCAAATTCTAAACAAACGCCATCTACCAGTTCACTGACAACACACTGTAGTGGGACAGATATCTAACAACGATGAGTCAAAATACAGAAGGGAGATAGACGGCCTGGTGACGTGGTACAATGAGAACAACCTATCTCTCAATATCAGCAAAACTAAAGAAATGATCATTGTCATCAGAAAGAAAAGGAGGAGAACACGCCCCCATCTACAAAAACGGAACTGAGGTTGAGAGTGTGAAGAGCATCAAGTTCCTCGGAGTGACGATAACCGACACCCTGTCCTGGACTTCCCACGTAGACGTAACGGCCAAGGCACAAAAACACCTCTTCTTCCTCAGGCAGCTCAGGAAATTTGACATGTCCGTAAGGTCCCTCACCAACTTCTACAGATGCACCATTGAAAGCATACTGTCTGGGTGTATAATGGCCTGGTATGGCAACTGCCCTGCCCAGGACTGTGTGCACAGCCCAGACCATCACAGAAGCCAATTTTCCATCCATGGACTCCATTTACACGGCTTGGTGCTGTGGAAAGGCGTCCAACATCATCAAAGACCCATCGCACCCTGGTAATGATCTCCTAAACCTCTTCCGTCAGGCAGAAGGTACAGAAGCCTGAACACATACACCAACAGGTTCAGGAACAGCTTCTTCCCAGCCGTTATCAGACTGATGAATGGGCTCTCTAGCCTCAAACAATGCTGTTCTTTCTAATATTGATCTTGCCCAGTGCACGCCCTGCGCAAATGTAACCTGTATACCTCTGTCTTTTCGATCTATACCTCCTTGCTTACTATGATCTGCCTGTACTGCTCATAAACAAAAATTTTCATTGTACTTTGGTACACATGACAGTAAATCAGTCAGTCAAAGCTTATATTGGCCATGGAGGGTGTTCAGTGTCATTTAACAGAATAATATATGAACACCAAAAGTTATCACAACAGATAACACATACAAGGGTTGAATTCCCTGGAATTAAGTAGGTTAGAGGATGATTTGATCTTAGTTTTCATGACAGCAAAATGAACAAGTAGGGTGGTTAGAGATAATTTCCCAAACCAGAGGAGATAATTCAAGAGTGAGGGATATAGCTTTAAGAACATAGAACATAGAACATAGAACATTACAGCGCAGTACAGGCCCTTCGGCCCTCGATGTTGCGCCATCCTGTGAAACCAATCTGAAGCCCATCTAACCTAAACTATTCCATTATCATCCATATGTTTATCCAATGACCATTTAAATGCCCTTAAAGTGGGCAAGTCTACTATTTTTGCAGGCAGGGCATTCCACGCCCTTACTACTCTCTGAGTAAAAAGAACCTACCTCTGACATCTGTCCTATATCTATCACCCCTCAATTTAAAGCTATGTCCCCTCGTGCTAGCCATCACCATCTGAGGAAAAAGGCTCCCACTGTCCACCCTATCTAATCCTCTGATCATCTTGTATGTCTCTATCAAGTCACCTCTTAACCTTAGCCAGACATTCGAGCATAAAATCAGGAAAGACTTATCAGACAAAGGGTTCTAGTGGTTCAGAACTCCTTTTTTATCTCCACAGTCAATGCGGGGACAATAAGTCATTTGTAAATTGGAGACTGATAAATCTTGTTAACCAAAGATGCGGGTAAAAGGTAAGTTTATGGTGTTAGGTCACAGATCAACCAGGATCTGTGGCCCAATGATTAAAATCCTTGTTGCCATGCAGAATTTCCTCAGTACTGCACTGGGAGTGTCAGCCCCAAATACGCAAGTATGTCTGAGGAGCAGGGGAACACACACACACACACAGAAATCCAAGTGTTACACACTATTATCTGAAATAAGCTTGTGTTTCAAAAGCACACTAAAATATATACATTAGACGGAATATCACATTTGTGATGCTACCTCTATTTTAATTTGTTGAATCTCGAGAGAAGCAGATGATAATCAGAAAAGGCTTCTTGTTTACCAAGATAGAATGATTGATGTGCACTCTGCAAAACAAAAAGGGCTCACAACAAACCCTGTTCACACCCTCTCTATAGCCCAAATATAGAAATTCCAGGATAGCTGGTTAGGAGTTAAAATTCTAGTCAATTTACACACCCCTTAAACCAGTAGAGATAATCTCTAAATCCCCGTAGCTTGTTCAATTATAATGAAGGACATTTTATTCCATTTAATGGGCAATGCATTAGTGTACAATGTAAATGCTCCTCTAAATAACCATAGATATGCCAATTCAACCAACCCATTTGGTGAATTGTCTTTAGGTAGCTTAGTGGCACAATACAGGGCATATCTTTCTCGGAGCCAGAAGTCTGAATCCCACCCCAGGACCTGATGGCTAAGGAAGGTGTGTCATAACATGACCAAGCAGGTTGTATATCAACATGCAAACCCTGCCAACAAGGAGTGGAAGATTGCCCGGCATTCATATGATGTAATGGAATTTGGAGCCTCTACTATTCTTTTCATGACTCAAACAATATGCATGTAAAAGTGCATTCTACCACAATAACAGACTCCCTGAGTGAACTGTAACATAACACCACCACTGTTGGCTTCCAACAGCTATCAACACGTAAAATATTACTGGTCTATCTTCTGTATGACTTGGTCATTGGAAAGGATTGCAGCAGTGAGCAATTGTAATTATATGGCCTTCAATGACCCTGTCCTGCAGGTTGCCAGGAGCTGGGGTTATTTATAGACAAATTCCGAAATTCTCAATCTGTGCCAAATTACAATCATCAAGGCTGCATGTGAGGAATGTCAGAAATTTAGTATGTTGTGCAGAATTCTCCTATGTATCTCAGTTCTGAAAGTGTCTCTTTTAGAAAATGCAGCAAAAGGGTTCTCACCTGCACGACATATCCAGAGATACACTTGAAGTTAGGAGGTTGTGGAGCACCATCAATTAGAACTTGTCCTTTCAAGCCAGAAGGATCTTTCCTTGCAGCCAAAATATCTAGTAACCTAAGAAGCAATATTCAGCAGTCATTATTGAACAGGTGCTAGCTGTTCTCTTATGGTGTTACTAATAACTATTTGGTATCAGAGAAGTAATAAAGGTAGACTGAGGTAATGTTGTCATCCATGTTTGTAAGCAACGTACTTATAACAATATAATTGACTGGTTCTATAATATTTGTTACTCAGATACAGTAGGCCCCAAGGAAGAACTGATTAGTTTACTGCATTGATGCAGATCTGGATCTGGCTCCTGGAATTTATTTTTAAAGAACAAATTAATGTTAGCAAATCGGGAAAATTGACTTTTTGTTTAAAATGGTGCGTTGTTGTTGAATTTAGAATGTTCCCTTCTTTCAGAATGTTATGGATGTCTCAGCTGCTGTTGTGGAATTGTCAAAGCTGTTAAAATGTGAGCAGAGTTTTCAAAGCAGGTTGTTGGATGTGGATTGCCCTGAAGCCAACTG